GAAGAATTTTACCTAAATCACAAATTTATAATCAAGCTGCATTTCAAATAGAAATAAAATTAAGCAAACTCTATCCATTTAAAGCACCTGAAGTTCGTTTTATTACACCTATTTATCATCCGAATGTTGACCATGACGGCAAAATATCTATTGACATACTTTATGTTGGAAGTGGTTTCAAACCAACAACAACATTAGTTGATATTGTTAAAGCTATTGTTGATCTTATTGATAACCCAGATCTGAATCATGTGCTTCAAACAAGTAAATTTTCAAATTTCTTATTAATCTGTTTTGTCAGATAATTTTATTATTTTAAAGATATTGCTGCTGAATACTCACAAAACAGAGCTGAATTCGATCATAAAGCAATAAAAATGGTTACAAAATACGGTTTACCACGAAAATAGACGTAAATATTTTTAATTATTATAGACTTCGTTTATTTTTTTGTAATACAATTTTTTTTCTAAAAGAACTCATTTATTAATTCATGCTAATTTGTGAGAAAGAAATTTATGTCTGTTTAGTCAGCTTGTGTATTTTTTCTTGTATGCAAATTAGAGATTAATATTCTCTTTTTTCTGTTCTGAATTCAAAACTTAGTAGATAGCACACAATGAAAACACATTATGAGTGGATTACTTGTCTTTTTTAATGATTTGTTGAAAAAGAATGAATTTTAAATTTTTTCTTTTAAAAATTTTTGCGTTATTGATGAAGTCAAAGCCCATCATGTCGTTCTCAGCATTTCTTCTCATTCGTGAATATGAAATCGATATTTAAAAACTATTAAATTTAATTTAATTTATTATAATAGAAAACCTTACGTGTCAAATTTTCATTTGTTTTTTTTTGGAAATTGAAAAAGAACTACTGATAACAATCTTAATTCAAAGCTTTAGTTTTAATTTTCACTAGCTGCAATTCATATAGTTCGCTAGACATTATTGGTACTTTGAGTGTCATGAATTTGAACACACCATCTAATTGTCATTATAACATAGAATCAAACATCGAATAGATGCAAACTAATTCAGATACAAAAGCGTCTCCACACAGAAACCAAAAATATAGAAAACGATGTTCAAAACATTATATAGACCCAGATAAGCTAAGAATACCAAAAAAAGATTTCGAGCAATCAACTTATTGCTAACAAGCCACTGTACTTTTACCGTAATTCCTAAACAAATCACGTGGTTTATCTTCGAAATATCGGAAAATCTCAAGTTTATGCTTCTATCGTGAAATAAGAGCATCAAATCTGCTAGTTCATATGAGTTATGTAAAATACACGCTATTACCATAGCTCTATCTTCGGATAGGAACAGCGACAAAAATCCGAAACATTTATGTCTTCTAAAATTTGCTGTTGATAATTAGAATTTTAATACATGAAAATGACTAATTTTGCATTGAAGTCATCTAATAAAAATCAATAATAGTTCACCAAAGTCTTCGATTGAGAAGGATATAAAAAAAGAATTACTTTCTATTTCATTTGATTTAACCACCTATTTGAGTGAGTAGTTGTATGTAGACTTTCATACCAGTCTAGATTAGCTACTCTTGAAAAGACTCTGTGGTGAACCTTTCAAAAATTCACTTTACTCTACTGTCATAATGAGTGGAAAAATACATGCAGGACGTTCGAAAAATCAAGAACCAAAAACGAAAATTATAGGTCTCTAACATAAATTGATTTTAGTACTGGTGATAGAACACACTTTCAAGTTCTTATAAGTATAAAGTTCTCAAATACTTCTACAAAGTGGCATTTTCCAGTTTAAAACACAATTAAATCTTTCTTCGAACTGAATTTTGAAGAAATGTACGAATCACTATGGATTTTACAGATGTATTCAAGAAATACTTATAGATCAAAAGAAGAATAGACTGAAATGACTAAAAGCTTGTAATAATGAAACAAAATTATTGAGTATCTAATTAGCATAAAACACATTCTAAATTTTATCAAATCTCGAAGTTTATTCATTCCATTTCTTTGATGAGTAAATCCATTATGATCAAGCAATCGTTGAAAGAAAATAGAATATAGAAAACTATGACATGTATATAGATCCAACTAAAGTTTTTTAACAACATAATATTATTCAATGAGGAGAGAGATCATAGAAAAATTTAGTTGGATTTATATACATTAATAGTCTGTATATATAATCAAATCCATAATAAAGAAGTGCTGATTGAACATTTCTTAGAATAAGAATTGTTGAAATTGAAAATCCTAAATCAAACAATAGTTAATCAATTTTTATTTGTAGATATATTAATTATATTTAAACATAATTAAAAAAAGGCTTTTTCTATCATATCGAAACATTTTTTAGAAATCAATTTTTTTAAAAAACGAATAAATCTATTCGGATGATATATCCGCCTGGCCAAAATAAACGAAACATCTTATTTTTTCGATTATTTCTCTCCACCATTGTCGTTTGGACTCATATTTATATCACATATAGATGTTTAATTACTCGACTTCTCCTGAAAGTTTCAACTCTATTGAGCGAGAACTTGTTGAGAAGATTAGAAATATGTCCGATGTACTGATGTATCCCTGAAACCAACATTTAGTGTTTTATTTATTTTTCTGTCATTTTAAATTCCATTTGGAATCTCAGGTGGTAGTTAGTTAACTAGCATGCTTGTCTACAGAAAGAGACATTTTAAAATGTCTCTTTCTGTAGACAAGCATGCTAGTTAACTAAC